TGTCAACTCAATGATCCATTGTGCCCACGGAAAATATTTTGACCAATGCGCTCACCTCCAAACCTATAAATATTCGTCAAGGTAATACAAATAGAGAATGTTTTTTCACGACTATTCTATATAGTCTGCATAACGATTTTCAGGTCTATGGATGGGGTTCGAAGTACCCCTACGCCCGTTGCCGCTCGCACAACCTGTTTAAAGACAGACTTCTTAAGCCACCTATTTTACATCGTTGTGCTCGTCGTAGCACATAAAATATCATCTTTATCACCTCCTTTCCTCCCTCTGGCCTCCTTGATCTCAATAATGACAGAATAGGATTTCGCAAGGCGGGCACAGAAATACACGAAGATAACTTGTACAATTAGCTATTTTTCTTTCAAAAACAACAGACCGGAATTGACCGATCGCAAATGATGTAATGAAAACATTGTTAGATATAACATTAGTAAACTTCCCTAAATACGACTGATAAACATACTGTAGGCGGATATCAATATATATTTGCTATACATACAAGTAAATTTTTTGCCTGAGAATATTTTAAAAAGCGTGATCGGCGGCAGTTTTAAAGATTCGTAACGCTTCTAATAAGCCCCTAATTCACGCGCTTATTATTGTTCTATAACCGTTTTCAAATAGGGCGCTCCACTACGATTGGCAACGGCTCCACGGCATCACGGCGCCATGAGGAGCTCTCGGCGTTCCCAACGCAGAGACTATGAGGAGCAAAGAAGGGGTAGGGCGTTGAGATCAAACGCTTGCCGACTGAAAGATTATATATGTCTCATACGGCCAGTCACATTGCAACTGTACAGCTGTAGTGCGGTTGGGTTTCACGAAAGAATCGCATGTCCTGCTGCTGGTAGTATTACCAGGCATTGTGAATCGTCTACTCGTTTCTTCAGGGCTCAGCAATGGTAGAGTAGGCGCGCGGTGGCCTGCTGCGCATCGCAGTAGCCGTCATTGCGCTAGAGTTGCAGTGGGTACGTACAAATAGGAAAACCAACGAGACAACGAAGACGACTTTAATGGACGACGTCAAAGTAGCAAGAGTAATGGAGCCTCAATGAGGACCGACTAACCTTCCATGTTTCTTTCCTTCAGCTGCTGTTTCGGCTTAGAAATTCTAGGAAGGCGCCTACGTTGACGCGAGCCCAGTGACACGGCGGCCAACTCGGACAGACTTAGTAGACAATTTGACTAGGGCAAGACGAAGCAGAGTTCAAGCCTTAGATGGTCTTCTGTTGAGCAGAAGAACGCTAAAGATTTTAGTGGAGATGGAAGGGCACTAAGGAGTGCTAGTCGTTCGATACGATGCAGTATTCAGAGTTCCCATCTGTCGAAAATCTAGACTCAAAGGCCTTGGGGATAATATAGAGGCATTTTTCATTCTGGCAGATTTTACGCCCCTTAGAGACACGTAGTGGCAGACGCTGCTCAGGGGACCAGATGGTAAAATTCGTTGGCCCTTAACGACAAGTGGCTACATACCGCTCTTTCAGTAAAAATAAATAGAAAACGTCAATGATAAAGATAAGTGTTCACGGTTAGTTTTCTGTGACTAGAAGATGTGGCAATAGCAAAAGCAGTAGCAAAAAATAAATAAAAAAAAAAAGTATGAAATATAGCACGATCTACAAAAGTTGATTTTTTTCGTTGTCATTTTTTTGAATTGCGTTTTGGATACGCATTTGAATCTACGATTGGCACCATGGTTTTAGCCTATATTAGATAGGTTAGTAAAAATGAATATTCCCTATCTGCACACATTTTCATCAATAAAGAGAACTTACTAGCTTTATTGTAATTTATTTCATGTTCATATTCGTATGTGTTTGTATGTGTATAGCGTTTAGTGTTGTAACCGTTACAGAAAATAGATCTCTTCTGCTGTTCACTATGATATGGAGCACCCTCCACAAATATATAAAACGGGGCCACACGGAATGAGCATAGGTTCAGCTGGTTCGCGGGGTATATGAAGATTGTTTGACCTCTGAAAGAAGACTTCATAGAACAAAGGATGTCGCAAGTACGGAATGATATATTAACAGTTTATTCAAAACGAGCTTCGTTCGCTTTTCTGCTCGGTAGCAAACACCATTTCTTTTGTTCCGCCATTGCTCACGGCTTTGTCTTATTTCTCCAGAAAATATTATATGACGTCTCGCCAGAAGACAGCGGGTTTCGTCTCAGATAAGTTTTCCAACCAAGTTTTTGATACAAGTTAGAAATAACGAGCAACGAAACTGCTTGCCCTGTGAACGAGAAAGGTAAAAATTTGTCGACGCAAAGAATGTGGAAGATACAACGAAGTCCCATTGTTAGGGTTCAAAAGGGAGAGTCCTTTGTTGTGTGGGCTGCTGGACGTTGTTATGCAGCAGGATGACCTGACCTAGTTCGTGCGGTGTTTTCTCTTGAATAGCTTAGTTAATTCGATGCAACTGGGTTACGCATTCTAAGGTCTGGTCTGTGTCGACGTACAGACACCATTTCTCATCACCGGGGACGATTCTGTGTAGCAATCAGTCACTGCGACGGCTTGACGCTTGATACTGCAGGATACATTCAAGAGCAGCAGCTAGCGATGGTTCCTTGTTAGACTCAGGAAGTTTACAAGATGCCTTAACTTAACCTAAAGCGAAGGAGGTCGAAGTGCTTAACAGCAGTCGTGTGGCTATAGCCCATATTTTCGGCTAGTGGCGGAGTCGTTTGTCGGCCTTCTTTCTTCAAAAGAGTCTTTAAATGGTCGTTATGAAACCCAGACGGTCGGCTAGACGAGGAGGCAAAAGATACCCGTATATTGTTTTCAAATTTGACAAACCTCTTTCGAGAATTCCTATTAGCGGTCGTGTCGTCGCTGTTTATCGAGTAACCGGCTCGGGCTGTTTCCTCAGCGTTTTGACTTCGATCAAAGGCACCCTGTTTCCAGCAGAAATCCTCATCCATCATAGTTTTTTTTTCGTAACTTATAAGTCCCAATAGAGGATTTCAACATAATGTTGAGGTTTGAGTAATTCTCCTATGAAAGAATTTCGGAACGATGATCATCTGAGGGTGCAACGTCTGGCGAGCAGAGCGGATGATACGGCCCGTCCAATTGAATTCAGACAACAAAAACAAAAATGTTAATTTTTTCTGCTGCGATTCTTTCGATGTGGTCGAACGCTCACAACTAGCTTTTGCTTCGACTCAATAATCTGGACTGCTCAAAACGAAGTTCCTCTACCAAATATGGCAGTACATCTCAGCTGTAGATTGACAAAGCAGGGCTCACAAATCTATAATGTCCGTATTGGACCACTAAACAGACACCGCACCTATGCGTTAGCTTTAATTTTACAGTTCTATAGACGTACTGATGTGAGCATCTACGATGATTGTTAGTAAAATCCACGATTCAGTACAAGAATGGAAATATGGACCCGTTAGGGTTCCTAATGTCGATGAGCCTAGCATTTATCGCCTGTCTACTTATTGACGACGTTGTAGAAAGCTACGCGAGCGGAACCATAACGGTCACCGTTGGAGCCAACGTCATTTGTTCAACCGAGATGTGTCAAGTGGCAGATTTGGTCACTGTTGTTTACTACGACATAGCTAACATACACGAACGAATTTCTTCACGTCGCAACAACGGGTGATGTCTTTATTTGAATTGAGCATGAGTACATACGGAAACAGACAATTATTCTACACAAGTAACTGATCTACTATAAAGTGGCAAGTTCATTTTTATTATACTGAATCTCATCGAGGAGGGCTAAACCGAACGAGGCCAGTGATCATATAAACACAGGATTAATAAAAATCGTTTCGGTTGTAAGGCTTTCGAACATCCGTATACGTTACATGTACTTTTCACTGACGAGGGACCAGATGCTTGTTTGTCGAAACGCTTCTGTCTAGGCCTGTTGGAAATATGTGGAAATTTTCGATGGATCAGATTTATCGCCCGGACATTCCCTATTAATTGATCCGTAGTCCGACCCAATTTGAATACCAGAGTCACTTCACTGTTTGAGACAAGCAACAGCAATGCACGTACTCACAATGACTTCACCGGTCTTTGTTGTCGACGTTATTATGTTAGTATATTGTTTTCGAACTCACTATCGTTCAGTGCGCCACTGACGGGACGCCTGTTGGCAAAACTCTGTATCGGTTTTCAGTCTCGTTCAGATAGACACAACAACATTACCCCCACAGGACCAATAGTGGGACTTAACAAATACGAAGACAGTTGTACCTAGTTAATACCATAACGAACATGTAGGACGCCTTAGCATGTTGAAAGTAAGGTAACATTGTATTTTACCTTATTAAAGACAAGACTTCAACAAAAAGCCATTTGCTACATATGAGGTGTCCCTTCTTAGGATCGCACGATCTAAACCATCCAGCAATAGAGATGTATTACGTCGAAAGGCCATAGCTAGGATAGTAGGTCAATCACAAATTATTTCTTTTTATTCTCGTAGATTTGCAACAACTCTTCGCTTTTTTTTTTTTTTTGATACGGCACCTCATAATCCTCCCCGAGGTCATCCATGATGAGTAATCTATCTCCTTGGCCCCTCATGAAACACAAGCGGTCTAGTGTCTAGACATAATCGGAGGGAAGCGTCCGGGAAATTTTTCGTCCAGTTGCGTAGTATGAAATTAATAGTTTAGTTTGTAACCAATAATAATTCGAAATGATGTGCCTTTTTGTTCTTTTTTTTTTAATTTGGCCGATCATTGGCCAGCCTGATTCATAGGAATCTTTTTTTCAAAACTGAATGAAGGCAATTGAATGTTTGCTCTTTTTGATTAGACTAGACAAAGAGAGCACATACTATTTTTGTTGCTGATATGGTCAAAGGTCGGCAAGAGTAAACCTTGATTCCGACCTGTCAATGGAGTTAGGCATAATTTTATTAATAGGTTGAAACAGTTACGTCCTTACGACTAGTGAATAATAAGTGTTTAAATTATTTTTTTTAATAATTTAATTTAAGGTCATTTAAATGAACAGTGCTTTTTCATGTCGGGCAGGTCCTTGATGATGCGAGAGTTTCTACATTTCCCTACAGTGAAGTTGGAAGCGTCTCGTCAAGGTGCTATTTTAATAACAAATGCTCTTAACATGACGATACTGTTACGCCGCTGTTTAGGAAGACGCGCTAAATAGTTAAGCCGAACAACAGATTTCATACGGTATCCTAGGGTGCCAATCCGACAGATATCAATAGTTCAATTTGTGATGAAAACGATATACTTTTTTTGCCGATTAATAGCTCGGGGTTGACAATTTTCAAAATAACCACACACGATCGACAGCTGTGGTACTGTTGCTTAGGTGTTTCTATCTGGCGATATTCAGGCCATGGCAAACCGTCCGTCAAAGAACTTAAAATACATACACATATATACATATATTCGAAGTATGTTTAGATTAAAATTACCCCATTACCACTCCTTCCCACTTCTTCAAACGAGGTGTCGTCGCTTAATGGGTGTTTTACGCGAATCTGGCCATTTAAGTTTAGACGGATCACAGTCAGCGTACGAGCAAAGGAATCAGAATAACCGAAATGATAAAAAGAAGGGAAGACGTTTAAAGCGAACAGACAAGATTCCTCACTTCTTTAAGTATAATGGCTGTTTAATATAATTTGTTTAGTAGGCAAATGCGCGGAAGTTGTTAATTTAGTAATTTTACAATTTTTTTTTTAATTGTAAGTTTTCGTCTATTTACATAGAATGCTGTATCCGGCAAGGAATAAGGTCCATCTGTCATTAGTAAGGATAGTTTTTTAGTCAGATTTCTACTATTGCTCACCGAGCTCACATAGTTGTATCGCTAGAACATTCGGTGAGCTTAAAACTTGTTCCGTTCATACATCGTTGTCCGCGACACCATTAATAATAGGCGCGGATTTACTTGTTGAACAGAGAAAAACTGGATTCCAATATTGGCTTCTATTATACGTCTCTTTTCTTAAGCTCGTGTCGGCTTTTCGTGCTTACATAAAAAAACTAACAGCTTGTTGAGCCTTATGTATTTCTATCTGATTGAGGCCGATGGTAGCTCTGAGATTGAGGATGTCGTTCAGTGCATCTATTTATAGGCACCGCACACCGAGTTCGTGGCAGGTCCATACATCGGATGCTATCCAGAGGAGTCACGACACGCGAACATATGATCTGCAGACGCCCTTGTCCTCTTCTGTAACACATCAGCAGACAAGATATTGTCAGTCACTGTCCCATATCCCAGGGTAAGAGAGACGGATGGTCTATTTAGATGCCACACAGGCTGCTAGCCTAAGCACGGACGAATCGGCCGATGTCTGACACTTGGTGAGTACATCTGTCGAAAGGAGTATGAGAGAACACGAATTTTCACGTTTGTTCATATTCCTTCCTCAACGAAAGCCTTCTGTTCTTGCCGAGAAGAAGACCGGACGGTAGATCTCGGAGGTGCCGCCATGTTAGTTGGACAGCCGTAGAAAGGCAGCTTGGAACAAGAGACCGGGTTGGACTAAGCGCGAGGTATCAAGATAGCTTCAATAGCAATGCTAGTCGTTAGTAGTAGTTAATAGCTACAATCCTATAAGAGCAACGCACAGGAAGCAGCATGACTTGGATAGATGAGTTCCGGTTTCGCTCGTGGCCTGCGCGGTTCTTTCACACGGCAGTCAATCAGAACAACACCTTTAAAGTGGGCAGGATTGTTTCAGAGGTGAATTAATGAAAGCATCTGTAACACAGAGTGCCCCTGCAATCGTTACGGCGCCAGAAAGTTCCAAAAACAACAGACTATACATCTATACATACGTATAGCGTGAAGGCTGTCACTAAATGCTTTCAGCTATTGACATTGTTGGTATTATTCGTTCTAATTTCTCTTGCTATCGACATTCTGAGAACGTGAATTACGTTTAAGCACGATAGCACGGACTGCAGGAAAGCCATTGTACACTGAATTGTACGAGAACGCTTGTCCTTGAGCGTGGCACTTATATGGCAGTTGTATAAAGAGATCGTCGTGGTCGTTGAATATAGACCGTCCAACAACAGATCTGAAAGCTACTCAGAATCGAGACGGATCGGAGGGCTGGGTGTCTTTGCTGTCTGGCAATACAAAACCTCAAAATGTTAGTGTTAAAGCTGTTAAAAGAAAACGGATTTAGTCTACGATACGAATTGTTTGAGAATTGCGATCCTATAAGAAAACCCATATATATTTACAAGGTTGTTGAGAAGCGCGGGAGATCAGAAACCGCTAAGTGAAGTGTCAAAACGGTACACGTAATCCCTTTATTCGGCGCATTTGTACAAACATCTGCCTGTAAAATGTCAGCTAGCATATATCCTGCCAACAGTATTATAACATGTATAGGGGTAACATGTGTCCTGTTGTACTAACCTATTGCATGGAGTTTCCTATTATAGGTCGTATCAATATCGTTTTGTAAAGAAAACACAAGTTTCAGAGCTGCTGCCACATTTTTGAAAAAAAAATTTGCAATTTTCGTACGCACTGTACAACGATGTATGGCACCCAATAAATTCGTTCAAAGGAATTCCCGAAACGCCAAAATCAAGTTGTAGAAAGCCGGCTGTTGAAGTGGTGAGCGTCACTGTCAGATGTGTTGAAAATTTATTAGGTATATTCGATGTAATTGTTACGGAGACTGCATTTGCAGTTTTACATATAAATGAGGCGTTTGCCTACCAATATTCGTAGCCTTTCTATCCTCTTTGCACAAATGAAGGCGGTATTCAATTTAGTATTTGCCAGAACATCCAATAGTTGACGAGAAAGTAGTCGCATTTTTCCACGATTTGCCATTGCCTTTATCTTGTCAAGCGGATGGGTCGTGGTCGCGGGAGATATTTGCAGCTGCCTTTTCATTATTTCATGTTTTGTTCGGTACGATCGGGTTTTTTTTTTATCTCTGAAGACCTCCGTTATAAACAAACGAAGATAAGAATCCTATAATATTTTGAGCTGCTAATGTTAAGTTAATAAAGCAGTTTAAGCATAAGAATTTTCTGTTTTAATTTCCATTTTAATTGAATGAATTCGACCCCTCCTTGCTTCCCAAAATGTCCTATAAAATTGAATAAAGAAAAGTAATAATAATACTATGGCTCTAAAAAAATAATATATGGTTCATTCAATCGTGTACAGTTTACTTGAGTAACCCCGACTCCGAGTGTGCAGAGAGTCAACTGTAGGCGTTACGTTCGGCACATCACCTGAGTATGTTCAATAAATGTCCCACGGAGAGCCGTATAAGATGAAATGTCAGATAGGTTCGTTCTGCAGAGTCTGTCTGTTTCACTGCTACGTTAGGCTATTCAGGCCTGCACCGGCACTTCTTCGAATTTCAGAGATGATTGTCAACATCAGAGATCGCTGACGTTACTACTTTTCGGATTAAAACAGCCTTCCATGCATTTACTGTCAAGTGATATCTCCGAATAACCGTGGCGACTACACGTGCTATTGTTTTGGTTTTTCGAAATTACTCCGTTCACCTTTATATGTAATGCCATTTATACAAGATTTGCGATGCTGTGAACAACGAAAGATATATATAT